CATGGGAACTGTTGTCTCCATCTTGATCTCATTGTTTGCACAAAAATCTCTGAATCTACTATTTTTGTACTCTCCTGCATTATCAGACCTCAACCGCTTGAATTTTAAACCATACTTATTTTTCACCACGACCTTCCATTTTCTGAATGTATCAAAGACTTCTGATTTCTTCTTCAGAAAATAAACTCACACCTTCCTTATAGAATCATCGATGAAGGTGACATAATATAGTGAGCCTGCAAGAGATGGAACTGGAGATGGTCCTCATACATCAGTATGAACTAACTCTAACTTTTCAGTATTGAGTGTCTTGCCAATCTTTGCAAAATTGACTTTCTTTTGTTTGCCAAAGATGTAATCCTCATATAGTCGGACATCTACATTCTTTAGGGGGCGTTTGGATGGGGGAATGTGGGATTCCCATGGGAATGGAATCAACATTCCCCCATTTTGTTAGCCCGAGAATCCCATTCCCGGTAATGTAAGATTACCAAGAGTGGATTTTTTGGGGGTATATTACCGAGAATGTCATTACCTCCATTTCCTTAGGTATTGTTGGATTACCGACGTTTTGGACTAAAATACCCTTAATTTTTTCAAAAATATTATTTTTCTATCATTGAATAATAAAAATTCTACAAATGTTAAATTACAAATTTATCCTTAAACTATGTTAGATTTACAAAAAAATATATAATTAAAATTTTATATGAAGTTCAGGGGTTAAAATAAAATTTTACCATTTCATTAAACCTTTTTATATTTTCAAATTTGTATAAAAATTATATAAATTTTATTATTTAAATTTTTTAAAGAAAATATATAAATATTTTCCAACTTGTTAAAAAACAAATATATAATAAGGACAATTTGGTTAAATATACATTCCAATAATCTTTTATTCCTTTAACCAAACACGGTAATCTTACATTCCTGCTAAGCCAACGAAACACAAAATACAACATTCTCAGTAATCCTATTCCCTGGTAATCTTACATTCTCACTGGTAATCTTACATTCCGTGAACCAAATACACCCTTAGATCTAACAGCTTCCCTTTTGACAAAAGTGTCTTCATCCCTTTTTCGCTCATATGGCCAAGCCTTTGGTGCCATATGTTTGATTTTCCATCAGCATCTGTTACTGCAATGATTTTCTCTAAATTTGAGGTTACATAGAGAGTATCAATTTTCATACCACGAGCTATGACGAGTGCTCATTTGGTAATCTTCCATTCACAGCCTGAAAATGTTGTACTATATCCTTCTCCATCAAGTTGTCCTACAGAAATCAAATTTATTTTGAGGCCAGAAATATGTCTCACTCCTTTCAGCTGCCAGGTGGTCTAGTTTGGCAACTTTAATCGGATGTCTCCTTTTCCGACGATCTTCAAGGTTTCATCATCAGCTAGATGAACCTTCCCAAAATCACCACTGATATAGTTCTTCATGATTTCTTGGCATGGGGTGGAGTGGAAAGATGCCTCTGAATCAAAGATCCATGATTCAATCGGACTGTTGACGCTTAGAATCATGGCATCACCTGACTCCTCTGTCATGTTGGCAGATTCTTGTGCATCAGTATCTTTCTTCGGTGCTCGACAATCTCTTTTAAAGTGACCATTCTTGCCACAATTATAACAGTTAAAATCTTTCTTTCCCATTCTTGATTTTCTCCTTCTGAATTTTGATCTGTCACGATTTGAATTTCTTTCTGAAGTTCTCCCTCTAGACTCTGTGTGCAAGGCTGAGGATCTTGATGCTTCACCCGATTCTCTCTGTCGAATTTCTTCACTCAATACCAGATCCCGAACATCGTCGAATTTCAATATATGTTTCCCGACAAGCTGCTGACTGCTGTAACAGTAGCATTCCAACTATCTGGTAGAGATGAAAGGAGAATTAAAGCTCGAACTTCATCATCGAATTCAATTTCCACGGAACTCAACTGGTTTGTGATTGTGTTGAGTTCATTTAGATGTTGAGTCACTGATGCCCCTTCCGCCATTTGCAATTTGAATAATCGTCTCATCAAGTGAACTTTGTTCGAGGCTGATGACTTCTCATACATACTGGAGAGAGTCGCCATAAGACCCGCCGTGGTCTTTTCCTTTGCTATATTGAAAGCAATATTTCGGGACAACGTCATTCGGATAACTCCGAGGGATTGTTTGTCGAGAATAGCCCAGTCTTCATTCTTCATGCCCTCTGGTTGCTTTCCTGAGAGAGATTGATATAGATTTTTCTGGTACAGAAAATCTTCAATCTGCATCATCCAAAAGTCAAAATCCGCACCATCAAATTTCTCAATTTTCACATTCCCTTCGTCTGCAGTCATTGCTCCCACTCGAATTTGGCTTCGTTTGGATCGTTTCTTACAATTTCTGTGAACCACTGTATATTAGAACACCTCTGTCGACAAATTCGTATCGACGACCAAATTTTTACTATTCACGAAACTCGCTATTCATGTGAATAGTGATGAATAGTAACCTCGCAGAAAAATTGATAAAATTTACCACCAAAAGCTCTTATACCAGTTGTTGGGAAATAAACGAGTAATTTTCCTATAACCATATTAGTGAGAATGTGAAATAAAAGCGAAAAATAATACTTGAAATTGATAACGGAGTTCAGCCAATTATGCCTACGTCTCCGGATTGCTACAGATCTTTTACTAAAGAGAGAAAATTTACAGGTGTTTACAAAACACTCACAACTCATAAGAAAACTCTCTAAACTCTTTAGTAGTGGAAGAAAGAAATGATTTGGGATGATTTTGAAGCTAAATGAGTTAGGGTATTTATAGTTGAAGTTTAAGGATTAATCTTGTAAATACCCTAAAGTGTACAAGGACTAAAATATAATTTCTCTATTTTTATTTTCAATAAAAATTGGGCACCGAATTCGGTGCCCACCCTTTTTGAATCGGTGCTCCCTTAATTAATTTTTCTTAACCCCAATTTTGACTTTTCCAACACCTAAGAAAAAAAAGGTCTTGGACTGGTCTGTCAGATCAGCAAAACTGGGAAATGATGACTTGACGACTTGATGAATGGTATAATCCAATTTCGGAGTGGTTCAATGAAAATATTACACCCCAAACCGAGTTGGGATCAGGTGTTGAGTTCCGTTCTGTAGTTTACCCTTGAAAAATTGAATCATCAAGAGCATCTCATGCTCTCATCAACCAAAATTCGGTTTGAAATAATTGGAGCTAGCGTCCGATTGCGGTTTATGGTAGGATGATGACCACCTTGTGTCCTTGTCTACTGTCATCATCTCAACTCCACAGGAATCGACATTGAAGTCGGCCGCCATTTCTCTTTGCAACTTCATCTCATTGGAGTTAATGGCTGGATCTTCAGGCACAAACACCGGCAATTGAGGGTCTTCGATGTCAAGGGATGAAGAAGATTTCCAATCTCTAACAAGATCTAAGGATTTAGAGTCGAAGTTCATCTCCATAGGTTAAATTAATAAACTCGTCAAGTGTTTTGATATCTTTGACACCCTCATCATCAAGCCAAAGTCATTAGAAGAGTATATTATAATGAAAATTATTACTAAAATGTTAATTCTCAAATTTTGTTGATAATATATATTTTTAAATAAATATGAACGTACCCCGTATATATTTATTACAAAAATTTAATATTAAAGATAGGTGTGCTCTAATAATTATTTGTATACTATGTTCCAGGTACTCCTCAAATCATGGTTTAACCATTTCAGAAGTAAAGATTCCATGTGAAGTTGAGGTACTACAGTGCTATTCTCCTTTGCCTATGTTATTGCATAATTATGTCTTACCGAAGGAGATTTGCCTTGCAGTCAACAATCTCTTATTGATAAAATATCATGCAGCCAGTAATCACGGAATTCATTTTAAAGTTCTTCATTCTATACAAATACACTGCAACAAATTAAAAAGGAAAACAGAAGCCCACATATTATGCTAGAAATCTGCTTTGAAACCTGACGTGTAGAGATTTACAAAGAGAAAATGTAGCAATGGCAAGGCGAATCTGCTTTGGCAAAACATAACAGGGCATGAAAATAAGCATTTTTGGCAGAGGATAATTGCACTGTAATTCCTCAACTCCACAGCTACAGCTATCTTTGTTTCCAAAACAGATGTATTTCCTTGGCTGATGGCTGTAAAGATTCAAGAGTATTATTTGTAAGATTTAATTACCATTGGCTTCATAGCTACTTTAGGAAGAAGATGACATTAATGGAGTAAAATGTTTTGGATATGCCATTCAACTGAGTGGTATATGCCAAGTCAAACCTCTGAAGATTCCCCTCATTTTCTAGGAATTTGGTCCCCATTTTCTTATGTTCAAATATATGTTGAATGTAAGTGTCGAGTACGAATATGTTGATTTGTCCAAACCCTGAACCTTATTACAAAGAATTGTATATTCGAATCAAAATGAATACAAGTACTTACGAAAACTATCAAAATAGGTGTTTAACGTTCATTCCATAATTATTTTCAAGTTGTATCCTCAATTTGATGAGTCATGCAACCTTTTTTTTTGATCCAGCCCACCGTTACAAACGAAATCGAAGTGATTTGAAACTAAATTTTGAGAGTTAATCAAATCAAAGTGTTTGGGAGAACTTTTAGAACTCGTGACGTTTTATTTCAGAAAAGAGAATAAAGACACAAAAATCGAAATTGATGCATGAAAATAGATATGTTATCATAATCAAAGTGTTGAGACTAATGAATTCGATTTTTTAAAAAATAAATAAATTTTTAGAATTCTCCCCTTGTAAATTTTTTTGTTTGTTTCCCTAGAAAATGGAAAAAGAGAAAAGAAGAAAATGAACATGTATCACACCTCACATGTCACATATTCCTTAGATATTTTTTAACAGAAGAGCTGAAAATAAGAAACGAATTATATATCTAATTTAACAAAAACAATTTTAAACACAAAAAAAATGACATTTAAACATATCAAATGGCACCATCGCTTCAATTTCATGAAAGCAAAGCTCAGATTAAGCATTTCCACTGCACCAAAAGAAAAACAAAATCATGCTAAGCACGTCCGGTGTAGTATGCTTACAAATATATAGTATCTGTCCTCTCCTTTTTCTAGGCACTCATCATTTGAGGAGAGATCTTGTAAGATGTTCACGCGCAGTCGCCAATGCTTGCGTTATCGTCTGCACAACACCAAATTTGTTAATATGAGGCAATACTTGGATTTCACTTGTGGAAGAAAAGCACTCGCTTCCGCTTTCTTGTGGAAGAAATAACCAAAAAGACAAAACAGAGGAACAACGATTTGCTCATTTCAAGAACAAGGATCATATACCTGCTCAGACAAAGGAGCTCCAGCATCCATACTATGACTAGCAACCTTCCCCGCAATGACATTTGCATCAGTTTCAAGAATGATACTGCAGAAACAACAAACAGTTGAGTAAAATTACAAGCATATTTGATGTGATCCAATTCAGCATCATGTTTACCATGGCTATTCCATCCTTACAAGGGAAGAAACTTTCTAACTTTACACATATATATATATATATTTATTTCAAATGTTATAATATAGTTATTTTCATATATATAATATCTATGGTTATTATAATAACTCATTACTATATGAGATATAAGTTATTATATACTATGTTCACTTCTTATATTATACTTATATTTTATATACTTAGTTATTTCTTTATGTTATGCATGTAGGTACATTCGGCCTATACTTGGGAGCTACATTGGAGCTAAATGAAGCATGCAACAGCAAGGATACTTACATGGGAACGATTAAGAGAGCATAATGTCACGAAATTGGGCCTTTTCCCCACACTTTGGGCTATTTTGGCTATGTTGGGCCACATTTGGTCTTGGAGGTTGATAGAATAGTGTAGATTATTCTAGAACACTCAAGACTTGTACATATTCTAGAAGCATTCTAGAGTCTTCCATGTTAGGTAGGAAATAATGAGAATTCTAGAGAATCTCTCCCTACCGTAGGATCAAATCAATCTCCATCGTCCATTGAGGAGGTGGGATGCTATAAATAGGTGTAGAATCCTCATTTGTAAATCATCCAAGAGTTGTAAGCATTCAAGCATTCAACAAGCTTTCTCTCTAAGTTCTTCCTTTCTTCTTTGTTTCCTTGTCAATCCTTCTCTAGCACGAGTTCGAGTGAGGCTGACTTAGCTATCGCGGGGCGAAAAGGAGCTAAGGCCGCACGAGGCTTATTGAGCGATTAAGTCCGTGACAGTTGGTATCAGAGCCAGTAAAGGCGTCAATATCGTGCACGTGTATTGTAGGAATGGCCGGAAATTCGAACGAGTCGACTGTTGTGAGGAACGTGGAAGAGAAGCTGCACCCAACAAAGAATAAGAAGAGGGACCAAAGTAAGGCCCGCGAGAGCGCTTCCATAGAACCGATGGTGGCAGAGTTTGGCGAGAAGCTGGAGAGGTCCAACACGACTTCAAGACGTTGGAGGACCATGTCTTGGAGCAAGTTGACACACTCAAAGGAAATGCCGAAGAGACCAACAACGAGGTGGAAGCTCGGTTCATACAACTAGAGGATATGATCCAAGCCGTCGTGAAAGCATCGAGGGGATGCGGGAGGACTTGACGCTCTGCAAGAGCCCGCCGTTAGCGGGAGCGCTAACCATGTCTCCACCCCGAGGTCGAGTGCCCCAAGCCACAAGGGTTCAACGGGGCAAGAGACGCCAAGGAAGTCGAAAACTACCTATGGCGGATGGAGCAATACTTCGAGGGAATCGGCCTTAACGACGAGGCCGCCAAGGTAAGACCGCTGCCTTATATCTTTCCGATACTGCTATGTTATGGTGGCGTAGGAAACATGCCGACATTGAGCGAGGAGCTTGTCGGGTAGATACGTGGGATGAGTTCAAGAAAGAACTCAAGAAGCACTTTTATCCCGAGAATGTGGTCTACGAGGCTCGCAAGAAATTACGGGAGTTGAAGCAACGGGGTATTATGCGGGACTATGTGAAAGAGTTCACAACTCTTATGCTTCAAATTCCAATATGTTCGAAGAAGATCTCTTGTTCTACTTCATGACGGATACAAGGATGGGCCAAGCAAGAGATGCACCGTCGGGACATTAAAACGGTTGATGAGGCCATTGCCATCGCCGAGTCACTCGTCGACTTCCAACCCTATCCCACACCAATGCAACGAAAAATAAAGATAAGTATCCAGCCAAAGGTGGGGGAGAACGGCGGGAGAATTACCAAGGAAACCGAGACCGAGATCACCGAAGGCCACAAGCTAAAGAGGAGATCGTGATCGACGTCCGGGGCGAAGGGACTATGAAGAGAAGAAAAAGGCCTTCGTTCCCAAAGGAGGATGCTTCTTGTGTAAAGGACCGCATCCGATGAGTAGCTGTCCCAAACTTGGTTCATTGTCTGCCATCGTCGATCGTCAAGACACAGAGTCTCAAGCCGAGATGGGGTCACTCCAAGTTCTAAACGCCTTGAAGGCCAAGCCATTGACACCAACATCGAGTAATGGGCTCATGTATGTGGAAGCAGTGATCAACGAAAAGCCGACAAGAGCCATGGTGGACACGGGAGCTACCCACAATTTCGTGTCTAAAGACGAAGCCAACCGTTTGGGCCTAAAGTACACTGGGAGCACAGGATGGCTCAAGACGGTAAACACACAAGCTGTACACTCTATGGCGTGGCACGAGGGGTCGAGCTACGCTTAGGCACTTGGAAGGGCCAAGTGAACTTTTCTGTCATTCCCATGGATGACTTTAAGGTCGTTTTGGGGTTAGACTTTCTCCGACAGGTAACCGCTATCCCTATGCCTTCCTTTAGTTCTGTTTGCATCTTGGAGAAAGGGTCTCCTTGCATGATCCCCACGGTCGAGGCACCGAAAGAGCAAGGCGAGATGCCACACACTCTCGGCCATACAACTTGGTAAAGGCATCAAGAAAGGGGACATTACTTATTTGGCCATGCTAAGGAAGATGACAAGATCGAGAAAAACGGATGACCTACCATTGATCATCCGTGAAGTCTTAGAGGAACAAAGACTGATGCCGCCCGAGTTACCAAATAAACTTCCACCCGAGGCGTGAGGTGGATCACAAGATCGAGTTGGAACCTGGTGCCAAGCCGCCTGCCCTGGCACCCTACCGAATGGCCCCACCCGAACTTGAGGAACTTCGAAGGCAACTCAAGGAGCTAGTAGATATGGGAATGATTCGACCTTCGAAGGCACCGTATGGCGCACCGGTACTCTTCCAAAAGAAGCACGATGGGTCATTGCGCATGTGCGTCGATTACCGGGCACTTAACAAGGTAACCATTAAAAATCGCTACCCGATCCCTTTGATTGCCGATTTATTTGACAGACTTGGAGGAGCCAAGGTGTACACAAAGATGGACTTGCAAAAGGGCTACTACCAAGTTCGGATAGCAGAAGGCGACGAGCCAAAGACCGCATGCATCACCCGATACGGATCGTACGAGTGGTTGGTCATGCCCTTTGGTCTAACCAAGCACCGGCGACGTTTTGCACGCTCATGAACAAGCTCTTCCAACCGTACTTGGACCAGTTCATGGTGGTGTACTTGGACGATATCGTGGTATACAGTAACTCCATCAGAGAACATTGAGACCACTTGAGGATTGTGTTCAAGATACTTCGAGAAAACGAGCTGTACGTCAAGAAGGAAAAGTGCACGTTTGCCACCGAGGAGGTACACTTCCTTGGACATGTAATCGGCCACGGGAAGCTATTAATGGACAGGAACAAAATCAAGGCCATAACCGAGTGGGAACCGCCGACCAAGGTAAGTGAGATGAGGTCCTTCCTTGGTCTAGTAAATTATTATCGCCGGTTTATACAGGGTTACTCGGCGCGAGCATCACCATTAACGGACCTACTCAAGAAGGGGAAGGCATGGGGTGGTCCGAACAATGTCAAAAGGCCTTTGAGAACCTAAGGCAGCAGTTAGCCAAGAACCTGTCTTGGCCTTACCGACTTTACCATGCCGTTCGAGGTGCATACCGATGCATCCGACTTCGCTATCGTGGAGTATTAATGCAAGAGGGACATCCGATAGCATTTGAGAGCCGCAAGCTGAATGACACCGAGAGGCGGTACACGTGCAAGAGAAGGAGATGACAGCCATCATCCATTGCTTGCGGGTATGGAGACATTACTTACTCGGTGCGCACTTCACCATCAAGACCGACAACGTGGCGACGAGTTACTTTCAAACCCAGAAGAAGCTATCACCAAAACAAGCTAGTGGCAAGACTTCCTAGCCGAGTTCGACTACACGTTGGAATATAAGCCAGGCAAAGCCAACGTTGTAGCCGATGCCTTAAGTCGAAAGGCGGAGCTCGCCGCGATCTCTCTAGCCAAGGGAACCGTGTTGGAGCGCATCAAGGAGGGCCTTGAGCAAGATCCAATGGCAAGAGAATTAGTAAAGCTGGCTAGCGATGGCAAAACCCAACGGTTTTTGGGTAGAGGACGGTCTGCTCTACACCAAGGGACGACGAATCTATGTTCCAAAGTGGAACAACTTAAGGCGAGATCTTGTCAAAGAGTGTCACGACACCAAGTGGGCTGGTCATCCGGGTCAAAGCGCACTATGGCATTGCTAGAGACGGCATACTTTTGGCCCCATATGAAGGATAGCGTGGAGCTTTACGTGAAGACTTGTCTTGTGTGCCAACAAGACAAGTGGGAGAACCGACAGCCTACGGATTACTGGAACCTTTACCAGTTCCCCAAAGACCTTGGGATGCGATCACCTTGGATTTCATTAGTGCATTACCCAAGTCCGAGGGATACGGTTCGATCATGGTCGTCGTGGACCGATTTTCTAAGTATGGGACTTTCATACCATGCCCCAAGGATTGCACTGCGGAGGAGGCCGCGCGAGCATTCTTCAAGAATGTCGTAAAGCATTGGGGCCTACCAAGGAGCATCATCAGTGATCGAGACCCTCGATTTACCGGACGCCTTGGACGGAATTGTTCAAGCTCCTTGGCACCGAGTTAAATTTCTCCACAAGCTTTCACCCTCAAACTGATGGGCAGACCGAACGGGTGAACTCCTTGTTGGAGTGTTATTGCGGCACTTTGTGAGTGCTAACCAGCGAGATTGGGCTAAATTGCTAGACGTCGCCAATTCTCTTATAACTTGCAGCGAAGTGAAGCCACAGGCCGGAGTCCGTTCGAGCTTGCGACCGGACAACAACGCTCACGCCGCACACATTGACAATGCCACTGACGAGGGTAAGAGTCCGGGGCGCCAAGATGGCTAAGTCATGGGAGGAGAACGCCGACATCGCCGCGCATGTCTGGAGAAAGCACGAAAGAAGATGAAGAAATGGGCGGACGAGAAGAGGCGACATCGAGAGTTCTCCGTTGGAGACCTAG